TATAATACATATTTTACGAATTTTACAATACTTTCTAAGTTTAGAACGAAAAATGTTAAAATCCTGTTCGTGCACTATCTCTTTAGGAAGAGCATTCCACTGTTTCACAAGTCTAGCAAAGAATGTGTGCAAAAAGCAATTTACTCTAGCTAGTGGCTGTCTTAATTTAAATGAATGGTTTGATCTTGTTTTACCATAACTATTAAATTCAAAACAATCATTACAGTTGAGGCCATTAAGACCATGAATAGTCTTGTAGCAGTCTAGCAAGTATAGATAAGATCTCCTTGATTGAAGACTGGACCACCCAAGCATTGCCAGTCTTTCTTCGTACGGCGAGTCCCTAGATGACATCGGGAGAGCGTATTTCGAGGCCCTACGTTGTACTCGTTCAAGAGCATCAATGCTCTTTTGTAAATATGGTGACCAGAGAGGGACAACATATTCCAGAATGGGTATAACCAAGGCCTTGTACAGAGGAGAAAGGACTTCCTTGTCTCCTGCACCAACATTCCTCTTAAGGAAACCCACAATCTTATTGCCTTTATTTACAACTTTCTGCGCATGGGTGTTCCAGGATAGATTTGAAGACAATGAGACCCCCAAATCGACCGTTTCGGTGACACACTGAAGCGTACAACCAGATAGCTTGTAAGGATAACTGGTGTGAAGCGCTCCAAAAGTTCCAAAACCGTGCAGCGCGAACAAAACTGATGCTTCCTCTTTGCAAAGATCTAGTAATGTTCTTTGTAAACTAGGCTGGATGACATTAGAAACAATGAGAAAACGTCAAAAAGCCATTTTGATTTTCAAAATACTGACTGGTCTCACTCCCCCGTACCTCTCTGAAATGTTTACCCATAGCGCCTCTTTTCATGATTATCGATTGCGATCTTCCAGAATGAATCTTGCGCTCCCTAAAAGTCGCACAGATTTTTACAGAAACAGTTTTGCATTTACCTGAGCAAGAATCTGGAATGATTTGCCAAACAGTTTAAAAGAAGACACTTGGCTAAAAAATTTTACGGGTAAGCTGGACTATTACTATCAGAACCAGCCAAACTAGTTCTAGAACATTAAGCTTTTTAATAGTAAATATATAAATTGTATTGCGTACGGATTTTATGCAAACCAAATTTTAATATTGCTGTATATTTTAATTTGATGAAATGCCGTATTTAAATAAAGGGTTCCATTCATCCATCCATTCATTTATCTGCTCGGTTGCATCACATTCCTTCATTCTTTCCCGGTATCTGTTGATCACTTATTGGTTTGTACTGCTTTTCCATTTCTAGATAATGTCAGGTACACACAAACGGTGTTGTCGCAAGTTAAGGAAACGATCAACTGCGTCTCAAGAACAATCGAGAATTCTCCCAGCTCTATCCCAAGCCTAATTTTTTTTAACTATAATCTTCCGCTGACTAGAGCGTCGTCAGAATTTGCGAATACGAATAGAAACTTCTGTCCCTGAAAGATTCGTAGGAGACCATCATGTCCAAGTGTACACATTCCTTCGTTCGCTCAAGAATAGGTTAGACTTATATAATGACATTGTGATAGTATAATAACATACACTGACTTCATACGGCGGAACCTCCTAAAAGATGGACTTATTATGCCATTTGTGTGGAACTGCAGAAAAATAATGTAGAAGGAACATGGCAAATTATTATGCCATTTGAGTGGAATTACAGACAAATAACGTAGAAGGAACTGATAGCAAAGAAATGTTTTCTTTTTTCTGAGTGTCCTCCAACGATTGTGTCGCAAGTTTGAACTAAGCCTCCTTTAGAGCTACGCTAATTATTTCGGTTTTTTTTCTTCGTCAGTTTATTTTAGGACTTCAATTAAACATCTTAGAGTGCAATCATCCTTGAAAGTTAACCGCTAGATATGGTTCTTATCTTGCTTGTTCCTGAGGATTTTATTAACCATTTCTTCTTTTCCCAGCTGAACAGACTTTGCAGGTTTTCTTGCATTTGGATTTGACTCTTCTTCTCCTCCTGCAGCGGCGAATCCAAGACTTACGACGACATTTCCGTGAACTGTCTTTGCAAGTTGCTGAGAAGTGGAAAAGAAGAAAAACATACAGTTAAATGTCACACTGTAGTTTAATTCACAAATTCCCTAATTAAAAAGGAGCTATCTTAAAATAATTAGGAGATTTTTGATCAAGCCATGTAACCAAAACAAGAAGCATGTCTAACTATCACAATTTTTGGGTGGTTGAAAATGATGGCTGATATAACTTTCACACTGTCCTCGGCTTACCCAGGTAGGGCCTCACTCTGAACGCGTGATTCAAAGAATGCAGCCCGAGCGGTAAACGCGCATATCCAAAAATGGCCACGTAACCACTAATCTGCCGAAGAAAGTCGATTCTAGGGCATGAGATACTGTAAGAGTATAACAACAGGTTTAAAGGAAAAGTTTCTAACGCTACCTCATTTTGTGGGGCCAGATCATGACAGTATAATCTTTTGAGTCTAATCTGTGATGAGTTCTGTTTCAAGAGGCAGTTTTTTTATATAAAAGAAGGAAAGCACAATGAATTCCACTCGGAACTTGTGAAGCGTTTTTTTTTTTAAAATAACCGCTCAGCTTCACATTTTGGTTCCTAAGCAACATACCCCTGGTTTTTTAACAACTATCGTTGGTTTTCCATTCTTGCTGAAAGCTGTGCTCCTATAATGCATTAGACTTCCATAGTCGTATGGCGTGCCGAGTGAATCGATTTTCCATCTACTATATTTATAAAAATTAGATTGTCGCCCTGAAATTGTATAAAAGTAAACCAGTAAATACAAATAAAACTACGATCCAAGCGAGGCATTATGTTGTAGTATTAAAAAGATGTATCTTGAAGTTGGCAATAGGGTTGACGTGGAAACTTTCGTTATCACTTGTTCTTTTGAGTTGATTTAAATTTTAGTTAACCTTTTGTCACCATAAAAGGGCCACTTGGTTTTGTTTAATGTTTAGAACTTGACAATTTTCGAAATAGCTTATTCAATAAGTTCATAAGATCTATATTTACCAAGTTTGTGCTCTAGCCTCTATCAAAAGGAACTAATTGATAAATAATTAATAATTAATTACCTGAAACTATGTTTACACGATTTATCGAGATGTAATTATCTCTGTCAGGACGTGATTGCTCATGGTAAAATCCGATAGCATGACCTGGAAAAATTTTATATAGACATTTATCTAGAGCATAACATTTTTTTCGCAGTATTAAAGATGAGAAAAGAAATGGAGAAGAATAAAATGAAATGGAATGGAGTAGAGTGGAGAGGAATGATTTGGAATGGAGTCGAATGTTGTGGACTGGAGTTGATTGGAGATAATTGGAAGCGGAATGGAGTGGAATGAAGTACAATGGAGTGCAATGGAGATAAATAGAATTAAATGGATTGGAGCGCGATGGAGTGGAATGAAATGAAAGGAGTAGAATTGAGTAGAATGGAAAGGAATGGGGAAAAAGGATAAGATTAAAGTACGATGGAGTGGAATGGAGTAAAATGGAGTGACATGGGGTGAGATGGAGTGAAAAAGAATGAAATGAAGTGGAATGGAGTGGGATGGGGTGGAATGGAATGGAAAGGAGTTGAGTTGAAGGGAGTCAATGGAAGTGGAATGGAGTAGAGTGAAATAGATTAGAGTAGAATGAAATCGGATTGAGTGGAAGGAAATAGAACTGAGTCCAGCAGAGTGAAATGAAGTGAAAGGGAGTAGGGGTGGAATTGAGTAGAGAGGAGTGAATAAGAGTTAAATATAGTAAAAAGGAGTGCAATGGAGTGAAATGGGAGTAGAACACAATGGGGTAAAATGGAATAGAGTGGAAAAAGCAGAATGAAGTGGAATGGAGTGGATTGGAATGGAATGGAATAGAATTGAGTTAGATGGAACGGAACGACTAGGCGTGGAGAGAAATGGAGTGGAAATGAGGAGCATGGAGGTAGAATGGAGCTGATTGGAGCACAATGAAAGTGGAGTGGAGTGGAGTGAAGTGGATTAGAGTAGAATGGAGTGGAATACGGTTGAATGGAATGGAACTGAGTCGAATGGAGTGAAATATAATAGAATGGAGTGAAAAGCAGCGAATAAAATGGAATAGGAAGGAAAGGAATAGAAAAGAATGGAATGTAAAACGATGGTAATTTATGATAAATATAGTCACCTATTTCATGAGAAACGATGCCTGTGTACCAGCATCCTCGTGCGAGATAAACTTGTTGGCGCCTGCCAATTCTTCCCACATATGACGCACATCTGAAATATAAATTGAACATGGCGTCAACATCTGCACGATATGAAATATACCATTATCTACTTGAGTTGAAAGCCCAGAATATGGTCATTGCGGGATAATCTTAAAATTTTCCTTGCTGTATTGACTGAACTTCTGTGAGTTAAACACAGTTTGGCCGATTGACGTT